ATGTTATTATTTGTGAAAATCATAATAGTTCACGATTTTGGATTATGAATGTTGTTATAAGCATAACACCATAAAATTTTTACATGTGGTATCAGAGCTCATGTTTCAGAACATTATGATTTTTCGATTAAGTAAGTATCAATTAATTTTTATTACAATTATGATTGCCTCGATCCAAATTTTCAATTTGCTGAACATGATATGAAATCTAATATGCAACTCATATGTTCCTACTTTAGATTGGGTTGCGTATTGTATGAATAATATTTATTTAATGAGTGCTAACTCTTTGATGGTAAACCGAATGTTTTAATATTTTGATAATTAAATACTATGAGTGATTTAATTATCTTTATTATGAGGAAAGGTTTAGTGGATAATGACCATTGTATTGTTTGATTTAGTAATGCCTAAAGATATTCATATTACATAATAAATCATTATTATTCATGTTTTGTTAGATCGTGTTATTAAATTTTAGTATGAGAAAGCACATTAAAATTTTATTGTGATCTTTTTCGTACCAAACATATTGCTATTTAAGAATCTAATTGTAACCTCTAAAACTTATTTTAGTATGATGTTATTACCACCATTATGCATAAGTTTGATTTTTGTGGATGGTTTGATAAGGTACAAAAATATATATTCTTATATGACATAGAATATCAATTGTGTTAATATTTGTTATCTTAATATTATTCTTATGATTTAGTAATATGCATTATGGTTATGATGATGAATAATTATGAATAAATTATTATTTATTCAATAATGTCCATACAAAGTTTTTACTGTGATTTGAAATTTAAATTATGATACGATTGATAGTTGCCAAAGTGACCCAATTGGAATGACACATAGATATCAAATCAAATAATTGAAATTTAATACCCTTCCCAAGTATTAAAATATAATGACTTTGCAAATCGTAATTCTTTAATTACAAAGATATTAGGTTAGCCCAAAGGTACACCACTTTTAAGTAATTGTTGAATTGAAATAGGATAGTTGATGGGTGTTCATAGTTGATATTGGAATGAATACCCAAAGATAACAGACCTACTTAATTATGAATATTTTATCAACTAGTCCTATTAGTGAAAAGGAATCACCATAATTGTTAAATAGTATGCCATTAGATTATCCCAAAGGTAGATCACGGTGATACTATTTGTGATTGTTTAAACATGTGTTTATCTTGACTAATTGTCAATTATTGATTACTCTTAGCATTAATGTAGTGAGCATTAATTATTGATTAAAGTTTTACTTCGCTATATTTTTATACCTTGTTTGTTTCAATTTTAAATGAAAAAGATTTCTCAAAATGAATAGAATAAGTTCAGTTTCATTTCGATGTTCTGAATTTTGACTTAGTATTATTATTTGAGAAATTTACTAGTTTTATGATTCAAGCAGTGTATAAGAAACAAAAGACTTTTCATAAAGTATAAAAGGATTGACCAAATAAAGTTTATGCTTTTATGCGAATGAGTATAGCAAATATTAAGTTTTAACTTCCTTAAATTGATAATGCTAAATAATGTGAAAGAACGTTTCCGAACTGTTAATAAGTTTTTTTGTTGGGACACTTATGGTTAAGCCTAGCAACATAAAGTTTGATGGTATGCATAAAATGTATGAGTATGTCATTGAATTGTCTAACTTGACTGCTCAATTAAAGAATTTAAGAATATTTGTGAATAAATTTGTTTTCATACAATTTATTTTGAATTATTTATCTCTTCAGTATGGGTCATTTATATTAACTATAATTCTATGAATAGTAAGTAAAAACTTAATAAATTGGCTAGTATGTTTATTTAAGAAGAGACAAAACTTAAGTAATTGAGATATCATTTATTGATCTTGTAATTCAATGAGCTGGAAAAAAAAGGGAAAATGCTTATAAAAGCACATAAAGAAATAGTCACATAAAGAAAATGAGTCTGCTCAAGATTTTCAATCTCATAAGAAAGAAATGGCTACTCATGTTTTTAATACGGTACAAGATTATTGTCAAATCAATTATGTTAAAACTTCAGTAGAAATTAGGGAAAATTAATCTAAAATCCCTCTCCCATTTTTAGTAATAAAAGAAATCCACAATATTATTTTTTGATGTCTAAGATCCCTAAACCCACACCCGTATATCAAATCAGAGAAATTTGACTTGCTTTTTCTCTTTTCGATCTTCAATCTATCCAAACCAAACCCTCTCTTTGTGCACATTCCTCTTTCTCTATGCTCCTTTCTCATCTCTTGGTTTTCATCTCCGATGCTGCTGGCTTCACCTTCACTTCTATCTCTACACGCCGTCGCCAAAATGCCACTATCTAAGCTGCGAACCACCACGATCTGAGTCGGACCACCTCGATCTAAGCTGAAATCAGCACCGACGGTTGAGTTACAGACGACATCATTGCTAGATAGCACCGATCTCTCTAACAGTCTCTATCATTTTAGCCATAAACATCCATTGATCTTCGTCGAAGACCTTAATGAAAACAGAGTCAAAATCCACTGTTATGACTATCAACAACCAATTTCAAGTACACCTTCCTACAAATGTTCCCAATGTTCCTATTTCTCATTACACAAATATTGTGTCCAACTTTCTCACCAAACAAACCACCCTTTACACCTCCACTACCCTCTTACTCTCCTCTCATCTCCTCCATACCCTCGCAACGATTGCAATGCTTGTCGACGACCTTGCAATGGTTTCACCTATAATTGTTCCATTTGCGATTTCAATATTGACTTGATGTGTGCGTTGTTGGTTCAGAAGATCGAACTTAATTTCCATGAACACCCTTTGATTCCAATTCAAAGGCTAGCCTTGTTCTTGTGCAATGCTTGTAGAATTAAACATGAAGGCTCATCGTATAAGTGTGGAACTTGTAAATTCTGGGTTCATCAAAATTTCTCTGAAGAGTGGGAAATTCAAAGAAATTGTGGAAAGCATTTCTCTGGAGATATTGAATTTTCTCTGGATCGATTTGCTCTATATAATTCGAGTTCTAAATTAATTATTTGAATTTCTGTGGAACTTGTTTTCTTTTCAATTGTAACTCAATGAAATTAGTTTGTTTGTTTGTTTGTTTTGTTTGTTTGGTACACTCAGTGAAATTGAATTGAATTTCTCTGATTTGGTTTGGATTGAATTTTCTCTGGTTTGGATTGAATTTCTCTAGTTTAGACCTCAGAAATTCTCTAATTTAGATTGAATTTTTTATGATTTTGATTGAATTTCTCTGGTTTGGACTAGAGAAATTCTCTAAGTTGGATTGAATTTTCTCTGATTTTGATTGAATTACCAGAGAAATTCTCTGGTTTGGATTGAATTTTCTCTGGTTTCGACCAGAGAAATTCTCTGAATTGAATTTTCTCTGGATTGATTTGAGGAACCTTAGACATTAAAGAAATATTGAGTGTTCTTTATGTTGTAAAATCTTAATATCAAGGACCTTAATCAAAATTTTATTTTACTTTCTTAAAAATACCAAAATCATAAAACTTGTTTGATGTACATAAAAAATTTTAAAACAAAAATCAATTAACATATTTGATAAGTTACTGGAGATAGTTGACGACAGTGGAAGATAAACGACTGTGATGACCAATGATGAGGATGGTCAAAAGTGTAGGTTAGAGTTGGTGCTTGGAGTGGAAGATAAACGACTATGATGACCAATGATGGGAATGATCAGAAGTGTATGAAGTATCACTAGAGGTTACGAGGTGACTAGAAATATGGCCAAAGATTATGTGAAAATTTACTTTTGAAAACAAGTGTGGAAAGAAAATTGATTCCGTTTAGTTTAATTTTTAAAAATAATTTTGAATTTTAAGTTGTATTTTTAAATATAAATTATAAAAAAGGGTTTTGAAAATTAAAAATTCATTTAATTAGGAGTCTTGAAAATAATTTTGTAATGATTTATATATATATTTTTTGTAATTAAATATATAGATATGAAAGAAAATGTGAAAAAATGAGAGAAGAAAAAAAATTGACTGATTGATTTTTTAATAAATAAATAAAAAGAGAAGAGGGGAAAAAAAACAATTTTCAATTTTTTTAAAAAAATTGATTAACCAAACATATTTTTTAATTTTTTGATCCATATGTTAATTTGAAAACGAAATCAACCGTTGCAGTTAAAAAAATTTAAAACAATTTTCTTTTTAAAAAAACAAAAATAATATACAAAATAAACACGCAGTTTGAAAACAAAAACAAAAACAAAAACATTACTAAATGAAATCTAAACTTTGAAGATCCCTTTTTTCTCTTTTTTTTTGGGAAGTTTTTTTCAGAGAATTTTCACCACTGCCACCATCACCAGTCCCTTGCCTCTTCAAAATTTAAATCTATATATTAATTTAAATTTATACAATTTCTAAGCACGGAACATTGTGTGCATTAATTGGGAACAACATTCCATAACCCGTATAAATATAAATAGATAAATAAATAACATTGGCAATATTCAATTGTCAAAGTGAGGAACAAAGCCTAAAAACAAAACCATTTCTGAAAGTTTTGAGGTGGTTGTAGTTGAAACCATAACATAACAGGTACTATTACCAAAAATTGCTTATAATCAAGGACAGAGAATTCAATGACACCATCAATACCATGTCTATCAAGGCTTATTCATCTTAAGAAAATGCCAACCATGTACTTTTTTATGATGTCTCAAATCATAATTGCCATGGTACATAAAATAATTAATAACAGCAGTTGTAATGCCTGATAAAAACATTTACATATGTCCCAATTGTTCAACCAAAATGAAGAAAAATTCAACCTCACTATTATCCAAGTATGTAATTATTATAATTACTGCACTCACAACCACAAAAATAAAAATAAAAATAAAAATCCAAAGATAAAAAAAAAAAAACTCAACATCAAGGCTTATTCATCTTAAGAAAATGCCAACCATGTACTTTTTTATGATGTCTCAAATCATAATTGCCATGGTACATAAAATAATTAATAACAGCAGTTGTAATGCCTGATAAAAACATTTACATATGTCCCAATTGTTCAACCAAAATGAAGAAAAAATCAACCTCACTATTATCCAAGTATGTAATTATTATAATTACTGCACTCACAACCACAAGAAAAAAATAAAAATAAAAATCCAAAGATCAAAAAAAAACTCAACATTCAACTTTTCAAAAGTCTCAATGAACACTACGAATAACAGAATGCCCGATGTCGCTCTTACGGATTGCTTCCACCACAGCACAAACTAGTAAACCATTCATATTATAACTAGGGCAGGATACAAACCATTACTGCACTCAAAAACAAACATTTCGTAAATGTTCCATTAATAATTATAAACAGCAACTGGATGAAAACATTAATATATATATATATATGCGTCTGTGTGTGTGTCTGTGAGAGAGAGAGAAACTGAATGAAATTTTACTGGTACTGTTAATAATTACAACTTTGGTATTTTTTGGAGAAGTTTGCACTGAATTTTGGTGTCCAACATAAGTGCACATATAAGGCAAGCAATACACTAGTTTGAGGTGGTTATTGTTGGGGATCCCTTTCTTCTAGTCTGTGGCTTTGCTAGTTCAACTAATTAGACAAACATTTAGACTGTATTTGGATCCTGGATTTAGAGAGTGATTTGTGAAGGTAAAAGAAAAGGAAATGGAGAAGTGAATGAATTTTAATCTTCTTTTTTTTCCTTTTAATAATATTATTTCCCTTCTATTTTCTATTCCCAACACAAATCCTCCCCAAGTCCAAGATCCAAACACAAGCCAATTTTTTCTTGTGTACAGGAAAACATAAAACAGTGGGTGGCCCTTCAGGGACATGCTAATGTGAGGCTTAATGTCAAACAGATAATGAAGCTTAATAATAAAAACTACCACATAGAAAGCCACGAAGAATATGACACCCTTCAACCGAAATCTCAGCTTCCTAGTCTTGAATGCCAAAATGTGTACATATCAGTTGAAAGATTTAAGTGGACAGTTGTAGCTCTAGTTTAGAGATGTTACTGCCAATCTGTCAGATTGGAAGTTGGTGGTTTTGAACCTACAAACCATGGGATGTGTGTACATTTCCATCTCCGTTGTACAAGAAACTACTAGTTCAAAGAACGTAGGAACACAATTTATGCAACAGAAATCATCATTTCATCAGTCTCTCACACAACAAAGGATATCAGGCTATGACTAGAAATGGCTAGCCATATGAACAATATGAAAACCAGTTCAAATTTTCAAGGCCATGTATATACCTAATTTGTGTTGGCAAGCAGTAATATAATTGGGAAAACAGAACATATAATCCTGGACAGAGTAGAATGACGAAAAAATGTTCATGTAACCAACCACACTGGATTGGGACATAATGCTTAGTTTGGTTTGCTTTGGCTAATTCTATTGGGAAAAGAGTGCAAGAGAGTGGTTTTGACAGCCCGCAGAATGAAAGCAATTCATTGATTCCTCTGCAGCTCCTAACACAACTCCACTCCCACATATAGAATAATTTGTGTGTGTTAAAAATCATTGTGAACGCCTTCACAATCATAGAATCTAATAATAATTATTTATGGAAGTAATTATGTTAAATTATATTGAGAATATATTGGGTTCATAATGAACTGTAACATGAGGGCAAAGGTATCCATGTGAATAATTACCTGTTGGCACTGCTCAGGATTGAGATTCATTCAGCTTTGGCCAAGGCTTTTGCTGAAGGAGTGGTGATTCAGAAGTTTTCGACTTGGAGTTAGATGATCATCCTGCCAGAAATCATGTCAGGTCATGTCATCCAGAATGTCATAAATCAGAGCACAGTCAGGAGTGAGAAAATAACACATTCAAGGAGCCAAAAAGAATCCAAAATATGCTGATATAACCTCACACCAAGACAGCCAGAAAACACCAGTGCAAGATAGAATTACTGCTTCAACAAAAGAAATAGCAGAAATTGCCTTGCAGAGATAAATGAAAGACATACAAAACCAGAGCTACTAAACATAGAAGGCAACAAAAATTATGTTCAGCAGAAGCATGTTCATTTGAAAAAGGTTTTGCTACGCATGGTTGAGTGGATAGTACAACACAAAAAAAATTGGACATATTCCTTTTTAATAAAACCAGGTTGCATGCAATATATGTAAAATATATTTCTCAAGGAAAAAGAATTTACTTAAATTTAGAAACAGAGGATGTTCAAAAAAATTATAATAATAATAAAAAAAACATATCCTGCAAGAAACAGCTAATGAGTTCTTGAGAGGCATTAAAGCAGAAACTAAATCACCTTGTATAGAGATGCAGCTGATTCAGACTCAACAGTTTGGACTGGGACATGTCCTAGTGATTGGAAGGCATCCAAGGCATCCAAAGTCAGCTGCCAACCACAAAGAGCTATAACACCAGCACTGGAACTGGAGCCACTGCTACTACTACAGCCTGCTGCGGCAACATTACCATTCACCCAAGGACAGAAGTAATTGTGATGTTTAATGGGATCAAAATCAACAGCTTCTTCATAGTTGCTTTCTCCATTTGGAGGCCCTGAACAACATTCAATGTCCACAAAACTATTTAAGTTATAAGGATATATATATAAAGCTAAAAAATTTGAACACATCCAACTGAACAGACATTATAAAAAAAGACAGAAAGAAAGAGGTCTAAGAGTAGGAACTAATGCATATGTGTGACATAAGACAGAAGCAAAAGAAGTTGAGATTCATCCACATAAAAGTTGAGATTCAGGAGTCACATCAACTGACAACCAGGCAAGATCAGACGATCATCAGCTAGATTCCAACAAAAATTAATACCTTGTTATATTTCAGACACACAAGATGATATCGAGCCAAAAATCCAACCAGACCATATCCTTCAAATGAAATATATCAGACAAAGTTTTGTGCTGGCCATGATGGGTTTCAATTCAGAACCAATGAAAAGCTAGCTAGTTAGTAAGGCTTACTGAAAAATGAGGTCAAAATACATAGCACAAGTGTAAGCAGCAGAATCATAATTGTGAGGTAACTAGAATTATTGTGAATTATAATGAATTTCCTGATGTGAATCATCTTCTACAGACTAGGTTCTATTTTTAGTAGCAAGATATTCCTATTGGGGTGACGTTTCCTACTCAGGAACTCAATTCCATCCTCCTAAGTATGAAATTTATAAGAAACTCACTTCAGTAGAGGAAGAAACTTGCCCCCAACTGAGATAAAAACTCTCAGACAAACAAACAAAAGAAAAAACTCAAGCTTATTCTAGTACTTCATATTTACATAATATTTATTTATATACTTAACAAAGATAATTCATAGTTGACATCAATCTTTAATATTTATTCATATTTTAGCACATATATTACAACTGAACTAAGCAATAAAAATATTCGTCAAAACATAACTAAAAAATATGCATGCTCCAATAGGCATTCCCAATCTTAAAAAGATCTATATTCCCCTACTTCATGCAACTAAGGTTCTATCTGTTAGAAAAAATTGCTACACTCACATGGGCAATACTAGATACAGTAACTCACCACAAGGGAATTCAAAGCACCAAAACAGAAACTTACTTCCCAACCCGCAACCCAAAAAATTATTATAAAAAAACAGAAAAATAAACTCTACTTAACACGGCATACAACTTGTTCTTGGCTTCCCTATCTTGTCATATTTGTCTAAACACTCTGTTAGCAATAAGATCAACACATTTCTTCAAGGTTAATGGATATTCCATATTTTGGTTCTGATAAGGCAAGCTTCCTAATGTACCCTTCCTTCGGCATGCATCTAAATGTTGGTTGTTAAGAAACAAAACCCGTATGCAGCAAGAAGCAATAATAGCTAAAAGACCTTCAAAATCACTGTAATAGACGACTATGCTTCTTCTACAGCTGAAGGCACACAAATACAAACCACCAGTCAATAAAGCATTTTTTAATAAATCAAGTCAATAAAGCACTACAAGAGCTAGGTAATCAATTCAACAAGATTAAAAGATGATAAAAGAAGTCTCACAGACCACAACTACCAACTTCTTCTTTAACAATTACCAAAAAAAACAAAAACAAATAAATCAATAAAGAAAGAAAGGAGGAGAAAAAAATCACTTCGTATTTCAAAACACATCCTACAGGCCAACATGACACTTTCTAAAATTTTGAAATTATCTGACCAGCTTTAAACATCTTGGTGAATCAAACGAAAATGCAAGAGCAGAGCAATCAAACACAATTCAACATTTTCACATCTCCATTTCACAGTACTTAACTGGATTGGACTTGCTCCAATGTCTTTCAATTGACATGGTAGCTACGTTACACGGACTCGGGTGCGGGTATCGGGTGCGGGTGCGGGTGCGGGTGCGTATCTACAGGTCGGACACTTCAAAATTAAAATTGAGGATATGTGGATATGGATCCAAATTTTGATACAGGTACGAGGATACGTTAAACAGTTTTTTAAAATATATTTATTATATGAAGATGAGTTAAAAAAAGTTAAAGAATAACAGATTTTGTTAAAAAAAATAGCAAACAAAACATAAATAACAAATAAAAATTACTTTAAGCATAAAATAAATAATATTATATATGATAAAATAAATTATTTTTATTTTAAGTATAAAAATTATATTATTTATGATATATTATATTATACAATAACATTATATAATATGAATAATATTATACAATGTTATATTATACAATAATATTTTATAATATGAATAATATTATATATTATTATATTAATGTAATTTATATTATATAATATATAAGAAGAGAGAGGATAGAGGACAGAGAATAGAAAGAGAACAGAGAAGAGAAAGAGAAGAGAGAGCAAAGAACAGTCGACAGAAGGAGAGAGAGAGAGAGAGAGAGAGTAGAAGAAGAGGGAGATCGAGAGGAGAGGAAGAGGGAGATCAAGAGACTAGAGAAAAGATAGATCGAGAGAGAGAAGACAGAAAAGGAGATCGAGCATCAAGCGAAGAAGATCGATGTTGAAGTCGAAGCTGTCGAAGCCAACGACCAGAGGAATTGAAGCCGGCAACCAGATTGAACAGCAAACGGCAACCAAGTTCTCTCTTGCTCTCTCCTCTTTCTTTTCTTTTGCCGTATCCGTTTGTGAAGAGCCGTAACCCGGCCGTATCCCGCACCCGCACCCGTGTCGTGCCGTGTCGACACGGGAACCTTCGAAAATCCAAAGAGTCTGTGTAACGTAGCATGGTAGAGACTCTGCAGGTTTGCATAGCAATGGTAGCTTTTACTACCTAGATGTTATGTTTGGACCTTCAATCTTTTTGCTATACCTATATGCATCTTGTTTTTGTACATGTGCATTAAAAACAATGAAAAAGATGATCAAACAGAAATACCTATCCCATTGGCCACCAAATAACTTGAGTCAGGGTATCCGCAATCATCAGTAAGTGATGCCTTGCCAGCCTGAGTTACTTCTTCCTTGGATGCTTCATAACCAGAACATACAATGGCATTGCAAGAAAGAGAAGGATGAGTACTGTTCTCCTGGGCTAATATGTTTGTGTTGCTGGTTTTCTCACCACTTTCAACAGATTCAGCCTTTGCTGAGCCAACAATCTTTGAGCCACTATCTGCCCGTCCTAGAGGCCGAAACAACACATCTTGACTGTCACCATGAGGATCCTCTCGATCCATTTCTTCAGGGACAAAATCACCCATTAGACCAGGATCTGCAGCAAATTCACCTGTTTGACCCTGATTTTCAGTGACTTCAGCAATTGGCTCCACATCACCAACAACACTCTCTGCTCTATGTACAGAAGCATCATTCCCATGGATTTCAGCTTCATGACTAGCACCCATTCCTACACTTCCTCCACTAATACCAAAGCTAGGTCCATCTCTCCAATGAGCAGTTGCAGTATCTGTATTTAATACTTCCTCACCATCAATTGTGCTGCTAACACCCATTTCACCAGCAATTCTCAGGGTAGCTGGACAGGTACTCTGCTGTGCTTGATTACTGTAGTTCAGTTCTGATGTCTCATTCAAATCTGGATTCTTAAACATTGATGTAGAGGGGAAATGGATGTCATCAACATCTCCAGGATAGTTTTCTACACTTTCCATAGAATCATCATCTGCACTGTGACAGATTGTGTCCATTGCAATAACAGAGGAGACGTGCGTTGAATCTCGAGTGGATGGTATACCAATAATTTGTTCATTGCCCGGGTGGAAAGGATCAACTCTGTGAACATCTGTTTCAATGTCAAAACCCACAGAATGGCTAGGACCAGCTCCAGATGAATCTCTCCTATATGATGAACGGTAGGTGTCAAAAACATCAGAATCACGGGCACGCTTTGAGGGGCCAGCTGAGTACTGTCTACCATCATCGACTTCATCACCATCACGGTCAATGACAGTCCCTTCAATGCTGTCTGCTTGCTGCATCATCAAATGTGGCCTGTCAACAGTACTTCCACCTTCATCCAAGTTCCGCTTACGTGTACTGGGACCTCGTGATTCATATGAAGCAGCACGGTCACCGACCTCACTGCTGGAAGGCTGCCCAATTATTAGATCCCTTCCCATATCAGCATTTTGGAATTGTTCAGACGTCATTGTCATGTGCAATTGTGTAGAGGATAACCCACCAGCCATCGTTAGATTTAAATCCACCCCAACATTTGACTGTGATTTCCCCTCATCCGCTGTTGCAGCTTCATCATGGTCCTCAGTCTGCTCTTTTTCTATACCATCAGTAGCAACCCATCCACTGATTCCACTTGCTGCACTTACACCACGTGTCAAAGCCATTTTCTTGCTTGTTTCAGGAATGTCATGCTAGTAGGAGCAAAGCGAGCAGGACGAGATACAGTGAGGAAGTCCCAGATTCTGACTGTGGCTCCACATAGGCTACAGTCTAACAAAGGTGACCTAGATTCAGATTTAGACACGGGACCAAGCACTTCATTCTTTCCAGAATCTTTCCTGTTTGAAGCAGAGAATGCTTTCTTGCTAGGACCAGCTTCGTGACCATGGTATCTGGTATGACCAATTGAACATCCATTCCTGGCTGATTGAGCAGAATTTTCTTCACAGTCCTGAATATTTGGAAGCCATCTTGGTTCCCATCCACACAAACTTATTAGCTTCTGAGCCTAAGAATCAGAATTAAAGAAATCAGAAAGAGCATATAAACAAAGCAATACCAGTTTACAAACATATGTACGATTTCCTAAATCTTACACGAGAGTATATACAGAAGGCCTCCTCTCTGGTGTTTTCCATTCCTGTAATATTCTCTGCCTTAAAGTTAGATTCCCCAGCTGTAAAAGCCTGTGAGTGAATAAGAAATCGGTCAATTTCCAGGCCCCGAGAAACTCGCATCTGCTCAATTGCTGAAGCAGCCACAACTGGGAGGGAGAGAAACTGCAGGAGTCCGTCACAGCGATCCTTATAACCACCAATAAGAGCTGATGGGGGAGCAGGAGGAAACTGCACCAAGCTTTCTGCACAGCAGTTTCCTCTCCAAGGACAAGTGAGTTTGTGATCTGCATCTAGCTTCTTGGCAAAGTCTTCTGCAGCACTATCAGCTTCATCAAAGATAATCAAGAGATGAGACCATTAGTCTTCACCAAGAATGCAGCGCCAATATTAATGTTCCAGAAAAGTTGAAGAAATTAAGGTCATAACATCCCGTGAGTATCAACGTGAATATTTACAGGGAATGGTGGTCAAAAGTAAGATATATACAAAATACAACCAGTTATAAAACACAAAAGTTTCCAGTAGCAAGCAAAAATCAGAGGAAAATGATTTTTCATCACTTTTTGAGCTTATTTATGATACAATACTATTATTTTTTTTTTTCCCCCCCAATGTATCTTGCCCCATATCCTTTTTTCTTAGGTTTTGTAATATTGCCGTATCCATACTTCATAGTTGCTCCCAAAAACTACCTAGTTGTTTATCTATGCACTTAGTCAACAATAGTACAACTTAAAATTTGTATTATAGTTCATATAGCTTTCACCATAGTTTCATCGAAAACGACACATTGATAGTTGCTACTAATTCACAATTTTACTGAAAATATAACGTCTGATATTAGTGCCTACATCTTTATTGCCATCTCCAATATTTTATTTTATTTTATTTTTATAGTAAATTGACATCTCCAATGTTTAGCAATCCTCAGATCTCTTTTCCTAGAGAGTGATGTTGGTTTTAAATAGGGCAAAATCCATTTTAGCCCCCTTGTGGTATGGCTCTAAAGCACTTTACCTGCCTAACGTTTAAAAATAGCCAAAAGACCCTCATGTGCTTTTGGATTAAAGTGCAATGTTAACACCGTTAACATCCAATGTACATTTACTTTCCTACCCTTCTATCTGCTTTTTCATTTTCTTATCTTCCACTCTCATCTGTTATACATATATATATATATATATCTTTATACTTTGAACTTAATTTATAACATTTTAATCTAACCTCTAACTGAACTACATCTTAAATTATACATATACATACATCTATACTATCAAAAATATATATAATATTACATATATTATATAATATAACATACATCTTAAGTTATACGTATATATATATATAGATAGATATAAACTCCATTAACGTGTATACTCCATTATCTTTGAAATCAATGTGTATAAAATAATGGTGATGGACCCTTTTTGGATTATCTCATTTTGGCACAGTTAATGTAGCATTAATTGTGGGTAGGTGGCTGGATTCACTCGAATGACTATACAAGGGCAGAGAACAATCCCATACACTGAATTGTGGCTCTACTCTTTCACAATCTTGCAAAATTATCAAATAAAACATTCTGATACACCAAAATCTTTAGTATCTACTAATCTTTACTGTGAGGGCGATGGAGGACTTGAGAGAGTGGTAACAGAGGGCAATGGGTGGTAGGGAGATGGCTGAGGTGGTGGGGTTGATGGAGAAGAGGAAAAGTAGTAGTGGCAAGTGGCGGAGGGTTAGGGTAGAGGGAGGCAGTAGGAAGCTGACTGGTGGGTTAGGGATTTTATGGTTTAGGTTTTCATCTTGATTTGGAAAAGAGGATAAAGATAAGGGTATATTTGACATTTTGTATTGTATTTTGACTGAGACTGCATCTATTTTCATTGTCAACTCTCAATTTAGGTGTGTGTGGCACAAATTCTGTCAATTTAAATGGAATTAGTTACGGTCTATGAAGCACAGACACGAACACGCATACGGACACGGACATAGACATAGACACGGACACGACAATTTCTAAAAAATGGGGACACAAACTCTGTAGGGGACACAGCAAATTTGTAAATTTTTTTATAAATATTTTTATTTTAATACACATTAATTATTTTATTTATTTATTATATTTTTTAAATAATGTGTGCACATTAGAAGTTTTTTTATAAATATTTTTATTTTAATATACATTAATTATTTTATTTATTTATTATATTTTTTAAATAATGTATTATTGTTAATTTATTTTTTTATTTTTAATTGATATATATTATAAATAAAAAATTATAATAAATAAGGAATAATAAATTATGTTAAAATAAATAAAAAGAAAAATTAGATATTTTATTTTATAATTTTTTTATTATATATGGTTTAATTAGATTTCTTTTAAATAATTGGATAATTTATTTTATTTATTATATGTTAAAAAGTTAAGAAATAATAATTTACAAAAATTATTATTATATATGATATTTTAAGAAATAACAATTAGATATTTTATTATACATGATAAAAATTATAATTTATAAATTTTATTATATAAAGAAACTTATATGCAAACAGAGAGAGAAAGAGAGAGAGAGAGAGAATAGAGGCGAAGAAGATCAAAGCCCTCAGAGATCGAGAAGAGAGAGAGAGAGAGAGAGAACAGAGACGAAGACGATCGAAGATGATCAAAGCCCTCAGAAGATGATCCCATGGCGTGTCCAAATTTGGACATGCGTGTCCCTATCGTGTCTTTGCCGTGTCCCTTGCAAAAAAATATATTAAATTAAAGGGGCACGCCATTCGACGTGTCCCGTACATGTCCCCGGCTTGTCCCCATATCCGACACCGCCACGGCTTCCATTTTAGCGTGTCCATGCTTCATAGGTTACGGTAGGGAGAGTGCAAAATGGGTCAAACCACAAGAGGACTTTTTGGCTATTTTTAAAAATCAAGGACGTGAAGTGCTCTGAGGCAATACCACAAGGGGCTAAAATGGATTTTGCCCTTTTAAATATCCTCAAAAAATTTCCTCATGCATAGAATCTTGACATGTGTATCACATTTGTTATTATGGTAAATCCCCAACAATATATATACATACATCTTAATTCTTACAGTGCTACATAGTCCTACCGAAACACCATGCGGACAAAATAGAAAATATCTAAGGAGATTATAAAGGCAGAAGTATGCATGGTAAACTAAATAAAAACCAAAATTCACCTTCCGAAGGTGTCCAGGAAGTTGATGAAATAAACTGCAGGTTTGCACTGCATGACTCACACTCAATCTTATCAACATCAACATTTACCCAGCCTCTTCTGGCACAAGCCAACGAACTGGCAGCCTGCATGAATAGAAAAGTATAGGTTTAGTGCAGAACCAAGCCCCATGACAAAAATGATAAGCATGTACAAAAAGATATTGAAAACAACAACAAATAATAGGGGAAAAAAAAGGAGAAGAGAATATTTGACAAATTGCACCAGCATCTATTCAAATTCCATGAATCGATTGTTTATTGAGCATCTCAAATAAACAAGACAAACAGTAATATAAAATATAAGCTTAAGAAAAGCAAGGGAATCTTTTTATGGGGATAAGACAAATTCCACACTTATGGTTAAGGCCTTGTTTGAAGAATTGAAAATCTGCAACAGTTTGCTCAATCTCATGTCTTTCTTCAAAATTTTCAGACAAGTGCATAGTAGCTGTTGGAACAAAACTGTTTTAGAAGTTGGCACCTATGGATTGAGACCTATGAAGCACGAACACGGACACGCATACGGACACGGACACGGGACACGGCAATTTCTAAAAAATGGGGACACGGACACGGCAGGGGACACGGCAAATTTTTTAATTTTTTTATAAATATTTTTATTTTAATACACATTAATTATTTTATTTATTTATTATATTTTTTAAATAATGTGTTATTGTTAATTTATTATTTTTATTTTTAAATGATATAAAATATATATTATATATAAATAAATATATATAACAAATAAAGAATAATAAAATATGTTAAAATAAATAAAAAGAAAAATTAGATATTTTATTTTATATTTTTTTATTATATATGATTTAATTAGATTTCTTTTAAATAATTTGATGATTTATTTTATTTATTATATGTTAAAAAGTTAAGAAATAATAATTTACAAAAATTATTATTATATATGATATTTTAAGAAATAACAATTAAATATTTTAATTTACAAGATAAAAATTATAATTTATAAATTTTATTATATATATTATATATGATAAATTATCTTATATAAAGTTAATTATATGCAAAAACACAGAGAAAGAGGGAGAGGGAAAGGGAGAGGGAGAGGGAGAACAGAGATGATCGAAGACAGAGAGAGAGAGGACAGAGACGATCGAAGAGAAAGAAAGAGCGAGAGCGAGAGCGAGAGAGAGAGAGAGAGAGCTTACCTTCGAAGTCGTCTGGATGGAAGACGACTGATCGACTGATGGAGATCGACTGAGAGAGAGGGGCTTACCTTCGATTGACTTGATGGGGGTCGAGGGTCTTCGATCGACTAGATGGAGGTGATGGATCAATTGGTTTAAATCGACTGATGGAGGTAGGTCTTCGACTGGATAAGCCTGAACCGACTGTCCCTTGACCTTACTCTGGTACAACAATGGTACTATAATGCCTTGGTACTGTCTCTTGACCTTAATCTTCTCCTTCTCTTATGCTCTTTGTGTCTAGATTTAGACACACGTGTCCAGATTTGGTGGACACGCGTGTCCCCGCCATGTCGCTACCGTGTCCCCTATAAAAAAATAATTAAATTAAAGGGACACGCCACCCGGCGTGTCCCCATGTCAGACACCCCCACGGTATGAAATCTGGCGTGTCCATGCTTCATAGATTGAGACCATGGATAACCCAAATACTAAGGGATGAAGAATACATTCACTCATAGAAGAGTGAAATCATAAAATCCCCTTTGCAACCAAATGGTTTTGTTACATGATAGTGAGTGTTAGTCATTTTCATAGACAAAGCGTTTGCTAAGGCGTCTAGGTTGATAGGTTAAAGTGTCCAACAGTCCAAGTGATGAAGATTGAAGACTTTTAGAGATAATGCAAATGCATGTTGCCGAGCTTCGATTCAGGGAAACTTGCATCGAGTATCACCATGCATTAGTCTGGGACACTCAGTTTTGACATCACAAAGTCACTTTTACTAACCTATACTTGGTCCTGTGAGTTTTTGGTTTAAAACTGTCCAAAAACAGGACTGCTAGACAAATCGTGAGAGGGTTGCTCAGAGTGTCCTTGATGATCGCATCAGCAAATGCCGTCAACAGGTGCATGCAGAAGTCTTGCAAGACGTGCTTGATACCCTCTCAAAGGGCTGAGCATGTGTTATAGTCTTCCACAGAATGGAGATCTAGAGAGGGTCAATCGATACCCGGTTGAAGGGCGCTTGAGCACCAAGTCAATTTTTGGAATCCGTGATGAACTAGTTTTCTACAAAACCATAAATAGGGCCAGTTATTTTCTATCCTATTTCTTCTGAGAGTTTGTTTAGAAGCTCTAGGTCTCTGGAGTCCTAACCTTGTACAAAAAAATTCTAGCTTACAAATCAAAACAATATTTCTTTCGTATTAGGAACAAACTAGACATCATAACAATAAACATTTTTTTTCCTGAAAGGATGCATGACATGGGCCTAGAGTGCAAGCAATTAATCTGATACACAGATTGCTGTAGTGCAGAATAGCTTAACCACACGGTGTCAAATACAATTCAAGTGCAAATATAAAGAAGCATGAGGCTGAGAAAGGATATTAAGCAACATAAACCATTAAGCAAAATATGAGTAATGAACTCAAGAAAAATTCTTGTGCTATTTTTCATCACAAATTTATGTAATTGATCTGATTATGTGCCTCAACACAAAAGACGTGAAGGCCAAAATGCAGATTCATTCCCCTAAAAAAGCAAAACCCTGAAAAAGTGCAAGGCGCAATGAAGAGAGAACTCTTGGAAACCAAATTTAATGTCAATGGCATACCAAGTTGCCCTATATAAGGGGAACCACATTGAACTGGAATGAATCTACCAGCAGAAAGTGGTATCATTTTAGAATATGTTAAGTTCGTCAAACTACAACTTGACTAGGATCATTAAGTAAATGCAGCGGGCCAGAGTTCTGGCTCTAGAAATCACACTTCTTAAATCATTTTTACTGGAATTGGGTAGAGCCATAGGGGCTTATGCAAGATATATCCTGATTTTAGTCTTCCCAAACAGCAACAGATGGATGTGAGCATCCAGTTGATGTACAGATCTTAACAGGGTAACCTTGAAAATTAAATATGTTTCAATCTGCTTATTCATGCAAAGACACGTAATTGATGCATTTTAACAATCTAAATACATGCCTCAAATATGTATATGTATTATGTCCAAACCTTAGACTTCCCAAACCAATTTGCAGGCTTGAATGTAGACAGACGCCTCAGTAAATCCGCCCTTTCCCATGGTCTGCATGAAGGTTGTGATGATCCAAGGGCAGAACCACCAGCACTCGTACTCAACGAAGTCCACAGAGGTTGTGAGCCAATGCGAGATAGAGAACCTGCTTTAGAACCCTGTCCATGACCCAACCAGTCAATACTTCCAACGTTTACTGGCACAGCAGGAGATGATGCCCCTGCAGAACTGATAGCAAGCAAAGGACAAGAGATGGTTAACCCTCAAGCAAATTATCTAAACAAACTGAAATAAACAAAGCACTTTGCAAATTACGAAACCTAAACATACCAAGCAAGAAATCATGAAGAGTCCTTCAAAAAGCAGAAAATATTAATACAATGACCTCAAATGAAGAAACTTTCATTCAGAAGAAACAAGCAAATAAAACTTCTTGTTTAATTCAAATCAAACAAAATGTTAAAAAAAAAAAAAAAAAAATCTTGTTACCAGTGACTGATTGCTCCAGCAAGCTTCCTTCACCAGAGACTGTTTTACAACTAAAAACCCACAATTCATAACTGAACTGACAAAAAAACCCATGCTTTTCACCAAAATTCTACATCCAAACTACAAATTCCACCACGTTTTCTCTGGAAACAAATGGGGCACATTGCAAATTAAGAAACCCTATCGATACCAAGAAACAAATCCTTTGAAGAACAGACAAAACCCCAACATAAAAGCCACATACATACACATTTATATAGATGTAATTCAAAGAGCAGAAAATATTAATACAATGACCTCAAATTAAGAAACGTTCATTCAGAAACAAGCAAATAAAAGTTCTTGTTTAATTTAAATTTTAAATTACAAATTAAATAATAAAATAAAATAAAAAAGAAAAGAAGGAGAAAAACTCACTCTTCCTACTTCAACAAAATACCACTGACTGATCGCTCCAGAACAGTTCCTTCACTAAAGACTATTTTACAACTAAAAACCCACAATTCATAACTGAACTGCCAAAAAAAACCCAATTTTGACCCAAATTTTCTATCCAGACTACAAATTCCACCGCGTTTTCTTGGGAAACAAAGGGGGTGCATTGCAAATTATGAAACCCCAAACATACCAAGCAACAAATCACGGAGATTCCTTCAAAGAGCAGAAATATTAATAAGAAACTTCCATTAAGAAACAAGCAGATAAAAATTCTCGTTTCATTCAAATCAAAAAGACAAAAAAAAAAAAACTCGTTACCAGTGACCGATCGCTCCAGCTAGCTTCCTTCACTAAAGACTAATTTACAACTAAAAACCTAACTGAACAGCCAAAAAAACCCATGCTTTCAGCGAAATTCTACATCCAAACTACAAATTCCACCTCGATTTCTCGGGAAACTAATGGGGCACATTGCAAATTACGAAACCCTATATATACCAAGCAACAAATCCTTCAAAAGTCCCAACATAATATCATAATTTACACATCAAAACCACACACACACACACACATATATATATAGATGTAATTGAAAGCGTGCCCTAGGGCGAAGAGGAGAGTTGATACCTAGCAGCAGGGGTTGGGGTTGGGGTTGGGGTTGGTGTTGGAGGTGGAGAAGATGATTTGGGAGGCAATAGTGAATGCCCCGAAGAGCTGATTACCTCTTCCTTCATTCTCTCTCTCTCTCTCTCTCTCTCTCTCTTCTGTGCTGAATCGTCTTTGGAGAGCTCTGTTCTGTGTTGTTTTGTCGCTTTAACGATTGAGTTGAGGAACGAGACTGCCTCCGGCCTCGTTTTGAAAGTCGTTATTATTTTTGTAGCTTAAAGTAGTTATATTTAAAACAACATTATTGCGTTGCATAGTTTTAATTTGAGTTTAGTTTGACTGGTTTGAAATTTATCTTATTAGACGTTTAGCTTTTGGTTGATAGCCGCAGTGGATAAGGATATAATTGTAATAAATAAATATTTCATCAGACCATCTCAATAGTTGTTCGAAAATGTCTGATTAATTATCTGATGAGAAGACTGACAGTGGTCGATAACATGATAATTATAATAGACAAGTGTTTTACCTACACGATCCGGTGATCGTTTGGCCAGTGGTTTAGTAAACATTAATTCAAACTATTCGAACCTTTCCTTTTTCAAACTATAAGCCGTTTTTTTATTTAAAATCTATATTTGTTAAAAAAAATAAATAAAATAATTATAATATTTTATTTATTAAGTATTTTAATTTATTATTTTTTTTTTTATAAATTTTAATTAAAATGAATAAACTCAATGTTTCGTTTTACTACTTGACTGTATAGTAATACTTCTTGTCACGTGCATTGTTGCGTGATATGCGCGACTTTACTTGGTCGAAGACGTACTCTAATTATCGGGTCGGGTCCGGGGACCCAGTGGGTTTGGTCGTTGGGTTGGACTGACAAGCAGACTAACGGGCTTTGATTTGGGGCCTTGTGTGGTTTGGTTTTGAAAATAATTTGTTTGGTTTACAATTTTATCAAGGGCAATGGTAGAGGGCCACAATTTTTGTGGTTCAAATGGCTCAAAACTGTCAAAACGACATCATTTTGAGCATAAAACATGCCAAAACGACGTCGTTTTGGCAGTTTTGAGCCATTTGAGCCACACAAATTGTGGCTCTCAAACATTATTCTTTTATCAATACTGTTTTAAATTTTTTTTTTCTCTCTTTTTTTTTCACATTTTATATATTAATTAATTATTTTTTTCTTTCACACTCGTCTATTCAATTACAAATACATTATAGATCATCCTAAATTACAAAATTTCAATTATAAAACTGTTTTTTAAATATATAACTAAACAAATTTTTAAATTTTAAAAACTTGTCTTTTAAAATTTACTTCAAAACTAAATCAAATGCATTTTTTTAGATAAATCACGAGTTGTGGGAGTGTATGGAAGGTGTTATTTGATAGTTAAAAACTTTTGAAATTTACAAATTGAACATTAAGGTCATCTCCAATGCTACATCAAATACATTATCAAATTTAAATTTGGGGAAAAGTACATATTTTTATACTTTAATATTTCATCAAACAGATATCAAATTGAGAATATTAAAAGTGTTTCACCAAACTGAGGATGCTTTGTGCCTTTCATCAAATCATTAATTATTATCATCATTTTTTCATCGATGCTCTCTCAAATGACCACCTCAAGGCAAAAATTTATGAAAATTTTACATTGGGCAGTCAATCCCCCGGATGACCTCTCAATTGGTAAAAATTTTACATTGGTCGGTTCAGTCGACCAATGGTTTAATGAAAAACCAAATCCTCCCATTGGAGCATGCGATATCAAAAAGAGTTTTTACTCAAATTTAGTGAAAAAAGTAATGCACCGTTGGATATACCCTAAGTATTGAGAAGCACATGAACTTTTTTATTTTGAAATATATTCAACATGGGTTGCTGTGTGGCCCAATTGTTGTTTATTCTAGACTTATTATTGTTCACATTATAAGATTCGTCGATAAAATTACTCATGACAAAAATCAAGTTGATTTGTAATTACATTATCCTATCTTTTTTATTTTATTTAAAAAAATGCTCCGGAATATAATACACACTGTATGGAATCTTACTACAAAATTATATAATTTTTCACATACTTCTATAACTGATCTCACAAAAATGCGTGAGTTGAAATGAATTTTGTGATAAGATTGCATATAATGTATTAAATGTCTCTTATAAATATTCGATTAACTTATTTTTTTTGATGAATAATTTATTTAACGAATTATATAATGCGAACGATTCAATTCATTAAAATGGCTACCGATCAAAGTGTAATTTTTTATTTTTTTTTTCTTTTATCTAAACCAAACTCACTATGCAATCTGTGACCGCATACAAACAGCTAGGGATGGCAATTTAAACCCGGCCCGATGGGGACCCAATCCCCCGACCCCGATTGGAACGGTTTTTCCCCAAAAATTATCCCCATAGGGGCGGGGATGGTATTGAAAATTAAATCCCCAATGATTTTTGGGCCGGGGACGGTGATATGTTTTTCAGCCCCGGCCCCAACCCCATCCCTATCCCCATTCCCCCTGAAGTAAAATTACTATCATACCCCTCAATCCTCCATTTATATATATATAGCCTCAAGGCTGTATTACACTTAACTGAACCCCTCATGTCTTTTTTTTTTCTCTCTCTCTCTCCCCTCTACTCTTTCTCACTCTCACTGACTCTCACTCTCGCACCTCTTCTCCTCACCAACGCTGTCCGCGACGCCGGAGTTGCCGTCCAGCTTGCACCTGCGCTTCACCTCCATCGATCTCCCTCCTCTCCCTCGTCCGTCGATCGCCCTCCTCTCCCTCCTCCGCCGATCTCCCTTCTCCGCCGATTGAGCCACCACAACTCACCACTGTTTGCGGCAGTCTTCCTCTCTCTCTCTCTCTCGATCGATTTGTTATATATATATATGTTAGATCTGAATTTTATTTATTTATTTATTTTCTTTTGAGCTCATCAGATCTGTTATGGTGATGAACAAATCTATTAGATCTGAATTTTTTTTTATTTACATTTGAGCATCAGATTTCTCTCTCTACGTTGTTGTTGTTGATGATGAACGAATTTGTTGTATCTATTTTTTTTTTTTGGCCGAGGATTAATCGGGGTCAGGGAAACCCGATCCCCGTTAGAGGGCGAGGGTGGGGTGGATATAGGTTCCCTCGTCGGGGATCGGGGCCGAGGACGGGGGGATTTCCACCATCGGGGATCGGGAACGGGAAGGGTGATCCCCGGCCCCGCCCCGCCCCGCCCCGTCCCGTTGCCATTCTTACAAACAGCCATATTTTCTATAGCCCTAGTCCACTCTCATGATTCCCTTCCTATTTCTATGCAATTAAGGGGGTTTTCAAATTTAATGTTAGGGTTTAAAGAAAAATCTATATTATATATTAAATAAAATGAGGTTTTTAACCTCAAAGCCTGTGGAGCTTCAATATCCCAATCTAAATTTTTTAAATTTCTTATTAAAAAAAAAAACTCAATATTTATTGATTTTGTCAAAATTTCCTAATCAACTTTATTAACTTTTTTCAATTCACATGTCTTTTTACATGCCTGCATTTATTGATTTGGTCAAAATTCTCTGATTAATATTTAAAATCCCCTCATACAAATAATTATAGATATAATCCATGTATAGTTAATGCAGTATCATTTTTAATTTATCTCATATATTATGATTAGCGATAAGATTGTTAAATTATTTTTATAAAATATTTTAAAAAACATAATTTATATATTAAAAAAATTTAAAATAAATATAAATATGTATAATTATTTTGTGTATAGCACGAGCGATTGACATAGTAATACTCGTAACAATAAGGCCTAGTTTGGGAAGACTAAATAAGTGCACTTTTTGACTTTTTATGAAATATGGGTTGGGTTGGGTTTGGGTTGGGTTTGAAGTGATGTGTTAGAGAGGTGATGTGACTTAAATAAGATGATGTGACTTAAATAGGATAGTGACTTTTTGACTTTTTATCTTTTTTCAATCTTCCCAAACTAGGCCTAAATGGTGGCTAGGTGACAAGTGCACAAAAGAAGGGATGAGGATAGTAGTGACAACGAGGGAAGGCTTGACACTGGGGCGGCGCCGGTAGGTAAAGTTGATAGGGAAAACGTAGGTATAAAGCCATTAAGGATTTCAATTTTTTGTGAATTTTGAGTGTTAATAAAATAAATTGATGTATATTATTAATTGATTGATGTATTGTGTATATTACAAGGATTTATATAGGAGAGGATTTGGGAGTAGGTGAAGGTGGTAGTGGAGGTGGTAGGTGGAGTGGGTGGTAGTGGAGGTGGTAGGTGGAGTGGGTGGTAGTGGAGGTGGTAGGTGGAGTGGGTGGTAGTGGAGGTGGTAGGTGGAGTGGGTGGTAGTGGAGGTGGTAGGTGGAGTGGGTGGTAGTGGAGGTGGTAGGTGGAGTGGGTGGTAGTGGAGGTGGTAGGTGGAGTGGGTGGTAGTGTCCCTGTCTCTGTCCCTGTTCCTTGTCCAGATTTTTTATGAAACAGGTTTGACAAGTCCAGATTTTACTTGAATATGAAACAGGTTTTACAGGTCCAGATTTTACTTGAAACCTGTCCAGATTTTTTATGAACACCCTGTCCCTGTCTCTGTCCCTGTCCCTTGTCCAGATTTTTTATGAAACAGGTTTGACAGGTCCAGATTTTACTTGAACCTTGTCCAGATTTTTTATGAAACAGGTTTTACTTGATCATTTTTATGAACACCCTGTCTAAAAAATGGCTGAAATCCCCATCCTCAACTAAGTCACTGCTTGAGGGGCTAGTGTCATGACAGTTGGTCAATGTAGACTGAGAAATAACACTTCTATCTGAATGAGTGCTAGTAGCATCCAATGATTGAATGAAGTTCAAAAATAACAGCTTTGTTACAGAATCTAACTGTTTGTTACAGCTTTATGACACCAACTACAACTTATAACAGCTTTTTTGGAGGGTAAATAAGCTGATTTATAGAATCACCTCCAAGGGCTGTCATAAAGCTTATAACAGTTTTTTTGTAGACTGAGAAACTTGTATTTTTAATGTGCTTCATAATGAATATATGCAAGTGCTGTCATGTTAATATTTGTCGGTTTTTGCAGATGTCAAGTTCAAGTGTCAGTGGCAATAGCTCAGATTGGTTAACATACGTCAACAGAAATTGTCGTACATGTAATAAAAAGGCCACCATTTTAATATCACAAACCGATCGAAACAAAAACAAGTTATTCTACTCCTGTAATAATTGTGGTTTTATCGGATGGTGTTTACCTACGAATCCAGAACATAGAGGTCATCAAATTCCAAGAGACGAAGTGCCAATTGTCGGTGAACAAGTTATGACCGAACAACTTCGAGCTATGACCGAACAACAAATAGAGATGACGGAACAACTTCGAATTCAGAACGCAAAGATGTAAAAGTTGATATGTATATTGTCCGTGTTGTTTGTAATTGGTCTATTTAAACTTATGAATATGTAATAGAAGTAGATGTCAATGTACAAGTTCAAGTAGACTGAATACTTTTGTGATGTTTTCGAGGAAGTTATGTTTTGTTGTGTATTGAAACCTAATTATTGTACCTCTTTTGTGGTGAATGGAATGAAAAATGACTTGTTCAAACTTATATACTTTCTTCAATACTCATTGAATCGACTTTGTTAAATACAGGAAACTGTTGAATGCAAGGTAACTATTGTTGAATACAGGTAAACTATTGAATATACATGATTAAATATAGCGAAACTATTTAATATACATTGTTCATCACAGGAAAACTCTTGAATACACATGGTTGAATACATGAAAACTATTCAATAAACATTGTTCAATACAAAGAACTGCTAAATAAACATTGTTCATTACTAAATATTGGAACATCTTCATTGCATAAGGTCCTCTTTCTACCGATACCTCGGTCCATAGTTCGGCCCAAACCCAAAATATGAGATGTCTTCTTGGCCTAAGACCGAGCTACACCAGCCCTTATCTCGGCCCATTACGCGGTCCAACTCCCAAAGAAGACTCTTCCTAGCTCGGCCCAATTTGTTTACAAATTACCCTGATAATAGACTACATAATTTCCAATATCAAAAACAAACAGTTGGAATACATAGAAACTAGTCAAACAAGTCTGTAATATCCAAGTTTCCCGATGCAGAACTATAAATCTGAGTTGGAGCACTCATCAAACTTCCCTGTGTGCCACTTATGAAGTCCGATGGAGTAAGAGACGTGCCTCCAATACCATGGGCCACCTGTGACAATTCATTGCCAAAAGTACATGTTAGAATAATACACTTTGTAAAAGTACATGAAGTCCTTTTTGGAATACACTTTGTAAAAGTACATGAAGGCCTCTTTGGAACACGTACCGGTATATACATACTATTTTCTGTGCCAACCATATAAGGATAATACGGTGTATACGCTTGAGCTTGAGCTTGAGCTTGAGCTTCAAATCGAAGCAACTTAGCAGCCTGTATGTTTTGAAGAATAATTAAAGATTGAAATTTCTGAATTGCTTTTACATACTTGAATAGAGTTTATAAAAAAAAATAAAATTGAATAGACATTTTACCTTTGCTTTTGTTTGTTTTTTTGCCGTTGCCTTGAACCGATTAACAATTTGATCTACTTTGGCAACCTTCCGTTTCGTAACTGGACGATCTCTTCGCCTAGCAACCAAAAGACTAATCACTTTCCTACTAGTACCTCCTTGTATAGAACTGGTGTGAATCGGACTTCTTGTTGAACATGGTAAATGACTCCCATAACCGGATTTTTCTTTCATGACTCTCTCCTTGATTTCATCCAACCCAAGCTCTACAATTCTAGTTTTGCCTTCAGAGTTACCAGCAAGTTGTACAATGGCAATCAATTTTTTGTTCATCCTCTCATAGGTACTTGCATTGAAATCATTCCCAAAGCCGGTGTATGTTGTTTTGATGCATGCGTATTCTCTATCCACATCTTTTCTCCACCGGGGCAAAATGTATTTACTTGGCACCTCATTTATGCATCTTCTGACAAGCACAGCGAGTGAGTGAGCACACATAATGCCTCTAAACTCAAACAACCGACAAATGCATTGAACTTCACATTCAGTTGAATTAAAATAGACAACAAAGTCCACATGCTTCATCTTCTCACAAACTACCATCGCTTCTTGGACATTATATGTACAAATTGATCCCTCCTCTTTTACAATCACCGCATGACAGTAAACTAATCTCTTGAACTCTCCTTGAACTTCTTTGAATTTCGCATTGGTGTAGGCTTGCTGAAATTGTTTTTCAAACCCGTATATAGTTAGGCAATCAAACAATTTGTGTCGAGACTTGAAGTCTGCTTTCTTCTCTGTAACGGCCTCAAAATAATAACATTAAACCCAACAATATAGACATGCATTGATATATAAAAGCTCCACATTCTTCTATTCATCAGGGTTCCATTACCAAAAAGTATTACATATTAACGGCAAAAGTAAATGCCCTACGGGCTTACAGCTTTCCAAGTTAATACTTGGTTACAACAAAAGAGTACTAGCTCATTTACACATTAAGCCCTTGGCTTGAATATACATGTAATACATCAAGAAACTAAACAACAAAAGTTTGCCCGCCTCTAGCCTCCCAAGCTACGTCCTTGGAGGTGGCATGCTACCTGTACCTGAAAATGATATTCCCATATAGGGTGAGCCACAGCCCAGTAAAGATATGCGAAACACAGTATGAGCAATGACTAAGACATCTTCATTAACATAATCCT